CTATTTTCAGTCATCTGGCATTCTGGACCATTTGGTTGGAGAGGGCCTAACATACAAATACAGTGCCCCACATAAAACAGCTTCCTCGTGTCTTCTTGTAATTTTGAAACTCCTTGCATCAGTCATTAAGCACGCAGCCACCTTGGGTCTAGAGGGCGGATGGCCCCTCAGTTTTTCTGTTGGGAGAAAAAATGTATATGCCTGTGATTTTTGTAAGATGTATCATTACTTTACTTGCATGTGACATTATTATTAACTCTTCTAGTTACTATTGTCAATGTTGAAAAAGTATTTTCGTCTATGAAATTTCTAAAGAATCGATCGATAAATCGGATGGGAGTTCAATAGATGAATGATAACATAATTATTATTGTTATGAGAGATATTTGATGGTACTAGTAATGAAGTTGATATGCAAAACTATTAAAACATGAAAACACATCGAGAAATATTATAATTAAAAATGTTACCAATTAATCTCTAAGTCATTTGTTTAGTAAATTCTTAAACTTTTTTATATTGTGACTTTATTGTTTGAGATGCCTTCCTCCATACAAATATTTGGCTTCATCCCTACCCCTCATCAAAGTGTCTTTGTCCCTCCCATCCAACTTCCTGTCCTACCACACTCATAATTTTGTCTTTTTCTCTTTATAAAAAAATTAATATAAAATATTATCTCAACTTATTGTTCAAATAAAAGGTGAAGGAAGGAAAGAGGAAAAAAAAAAAGACAGAGAATATTATCATATTTTTTTTCATAGAAGAATCTTATCACTTTCACTAGAGAGGAGCAAACGAAAAGATCTTTTCGTTATGGTACCCACATCTTACTTTTCGGTATCTTCTTATCAAAATAATGTTCAATTTTCAATACATCAATCAAGTATTAGATAAGGATGATGTCATACATTTATCGACAATGATTTAGTTAAGTTGGTTAGAGTTTTCGTTTTCTCTTAAAATTTTAGGGCTTGTTTGGTATCCTATTTGAATTTTTTTTTAATTTCTCAAAACATTTTTTAAGAATTTTTCTTGAAAACAATTTTTTTTTTAAGACTCAAAAAGTTGTTTGGTATGCGATTTAAAAATTTTAAATCTTACAACTTAAATTAGACAAAAAGATCCAAACAGAAGGAACCGAGAGAGAAATAGGAGAGAACAGGAAAAAAAGTAAAAGATGATTGGAGGAAAGAGAAAGAAGTGAGATGATAAGGGAGAGGAGTGAGAAAAAACAGAAATAATGAAGAGACAGGATCAAATGAGATTGGAGGAAAGAGAAAGAAGTGAGATGATAGGGGAGAGGAGTGAGAAAAAACAGAAATAATGAAGAGACAAGAACAAATGAGAGATGAAAAAGGTAAGAGAAAAAAGATAAGGGGGAAGAGAGAAAGAAGAAAAGAGAGATTTGGTGTGAGAGGGAATGAGGGAGAGAAAAGAAAAGAGTGAGTTTAAATATAAAAACTCTAAAAACTTTTTGTGTTTTTAGAGAATAGACTATATTTTTAAGTTAGTTTTGAGTTCAATTTTTTAAAATATTCTTACCAAACAAGTTTTTAAGGCCTAAAATTTGAAAATTGTTTTTGAGTTTTAAAAGCTGAATTCAAGTAGCGTACCAAACAGGTTCTTAGTATTTTTCATAAAATTAGATGAATTTAGTGTAAAATATCATATTCTTTATCAAAACAAAAATAATGCCATATAATTTAATTTGGTTCTCAATTTTCTCACATTGAAATATAGGATGAATCCCGGTCCACATGACCTCAAATTTTGTTTGGGTTCTAAAGTATTTTCCATAATTTTATTTTCTATAGTATTTTAAAGATCCGAAATTGTGAATTCGCATGCCTGAAATTGTGAATGGAATCGTACAATTAGGCCATCTTTAACCGAGGGCTTGAGCCCTCTGGCCCTCTAAGATATTAATATTTTAATAAACATTACAGGGGCATATTTGTCTCTATCTCCAACTGAGGGTCAAAGGGCCATAGGGCTCGTTTTAGCCCTATCATAAAAAACCGTCTCCAACCAAGGGCCAAAGGGCCATACGGCCAAACATAATTTATTATTTAAAAACTACAACTTAAATTCAAATCCAACGGCTAAGTGACGTCAGCTAGCCGTTGGATTTGAATTTTTTTTGGGCTATAAATAGGGTGGATATTGGGTTATAATTCACACAACTTTGAATTCAATCTATTTCAATTTAATATCTTTCAATTCAAGTTTGCAATGAATTCCAACTTTGGATCTTCTTTGAATTCCAAGTGGGGGTCCTCATCCAATTCCAAATTGGAAGAAAAATAGGCGCAGATGAGACGAGAAGATGAGGAGTGTGATGAAGAAGATGAAGCATGACACAACACACAAAACATAACAACAGCCATAGTTGCTGCTATGGTGTGTCAGCCAACTGCGCAACAACCTGAATGGCGGCCGGGATGTGACATTTGGTATCAGAGCATAACCTTGACCGTGGTGTGCCGACGAGGACGTCGGGCCCCTAAGGGGGGTGGATTGTGACATCCCACATCGCCCAGGGGAGTGATCCTTAAATGTATATTCTCATCTCTACCTAGCGCGAGGCCTTTTGGGAGCTCACTGGCTTCGGGTTCCGTAGGAACTCCGAAGTTAAACGAGAAGGGGGCTAGAGCAATCCCATGATGGGTGACCCACTGCGAAGTTGCTTGTGAGTTCCCAAAAACAAAACCGTGAGGGAATGGTAAGCCCAAAGCGGACAATATCGTGCTACGGTGGTGGAGCGGGCCCGAGAAGTGATCCGCCCTGAGCCGGGATGTGACAGTGGCTCTGTTGCTGGTTGTTCTTACAAACCACGAAACAAAGCGATGATGCATGCCAATCTGATGAACTACTTCAACCCCAACTCGGTGTACACGGAAGAGGATTTCAGACGTAGCTTCCAGATGAGGTGTCACGTCTTCGAGCGTGTACTTCGTGATGTTCAGCAGGTCAATTCATACTTTCGACAGAAACGGGACAGAGCAGGCTGTCCTGGTTTCTCACCTCATCAGAAGGTTACTGTTGCACTCCGAATGATGGCCTATGGCTCCCAACTGATTCGATGGATGAAACCCATGGTATGTCTGAGTCTACATGCCTTGAAACTCTTCAACAATTTTATGTCACAATTGTTTAGGTTTACAAAGACGAGTACCTTCGCGTGCCAAATCAAAAATATCTCGATCGGCTCATTCGCAAAGCTGAAGACTGCGGGTTTCCAGGCATGATAGGGTCATTAGACTGCATGCATTGGGATTGAAAGAAGTGTCCCACCAAATGGCAATCAGGCTTCTGCGGAACGTCGAGAAAGCCAACTGTTGTGTTAGAGACAGTTGCCTCGTATGACACATGGATTTGGCATGCTTTCTTTGGAGTCCCTGGATCCCAAAATGACATTACAGTTTTTGGACGTTCACCTCTCTTCAATACCCTAACGGAAGGTAAAGCACCTTAACTTGACTATTACATCAACAGTCGTCGGTACAATATCAGGTATTACTTGGCAGATGACATCTACCCAAAGTGGGCGACACTTGTCCAAGCAATTCCAAACCTTAGGAATGACGTTGAAAAGTTGTTTACCTTACACCGAGAGACAAACTGGAAAGATGTTGAGAGAGCTTTCGGTATTCTACAAGCACGGTGGAAGATCATCAGCGAACCGGCAAAGAGGGTAAAGTTGAGAAAATTTGGACTCCATCATGATGTCTTGCATCATATTACACAATATGATTGTGAAGGATGAGCGAGATGGGTATATTGATGAAGAGTCCGATGACGACCAAGAGAATCCAAATAAGTCAAGAAGGATTCGTGCAAAAATATATGATGGGCCTAATTTGCCTTTTAATCCAAGAACTGGTAATATCTCTATAAACGAGTACATGAGGCGCTATAGAATTATACATTCCCGTGCCACAAATAAGTACCTAGAACAAGATCTTGTTGCACATCTTTGGGCCAAAAATAGCATGGAGTATGAGTTTAAGTTTTATGTTGTTAAATGTTTTTCAAAATGTTGTTTATGTTTCATGTTGTTAAATGTTTTATTTATTTATTTATTTTTATGTTGTATAATTTAATGTTGTTTAATATTGTTTAATATTATTTAATGTTGTTTAATGTTATTTAATGTCAACAGCTTGATTCTTCGTTAACTGATCCCAAACTTCCATCCTCCTTAGATATTATTTTCAAAAGAAATGGTAAAAAAAACTCTCAAAAGTGAAACTCTTTATGAATCGACTTTTTATCACTTCATATTTTTAGCACAACATTTTATAATATTAACAACATAATCGACATTAAATTTTAAGATGACATAGTATAAAGAGTTACAATTTGAAATAATCTCAATTTGCATTCTCCATCTTTGAAAACTTTGCACGTTAATAAAGAACCAAGCTGGAGGGGGTGGGCCATTAAAATTAATCAGACTATTTAAGTATGTATTGTCAAAGGATCATCATGAAAGAAATATATAATTATTCCAGTATAAGTCCAAAATCCAAATAGTGCTGGGGATTCTCTAACGTGGGCCTCTGTGATATTTGTATGTATGCATCCATTTAGACCTTACAGTTTGTCCAAACAACTTTCAAATACGTGCATCCATGTGACATCTGAAACCCACAACACATACAACACTTTTTCATAAACTCTCTTAAATTTTTAATTGCCATAACTCAACACTCCAAATTACGTAAAAAAATATACAAGATAATACAAATTCAAAACAACAGAACAGATAATTGAAAAATGTGGTCAATATCACTTCACCATGGTGGTGGACTTATTCAATCCAAAAATGGAGAAGTAGCTACAAATTCTTACACCATTGACGTAAAATCTCCAAACGTAAGAGCGATATATTTTACTTAACTGAGTTACAAGCCCTTTGCACAATATTGACGTACAATTCGACGTAAATCTCGAGTACATGAGTGAAGGTTATTAACTAAGGCAAAACCGCTAACTTGCGTACAATGTTGCTTAATCATATTTCAAAATGATGTCTACAATGAAACCCAGAAAATGAACGATGTAAGATCAAGACAGCCAACCAACAAATCAAGCCAAAATAAACACAGGGAGATGCTAATAGAGTAATTAATAATAAACAAGTAGTAAATTAAGTAATTAATTAACAGAGTTTAATGTGTATTATGCTAATGAACATAATCAACTATTGACTGATAGCAAGGAAGGAATCGCATTCAAGTTTGGAGCCGTGTTCTTATCTGAAGCTTGTCTAACTATGTCCCTCTTCCCATCTTTAGAAGAAGGTTTGGTGAATGCTCTCATCGGACTCGCAAACGCCCACCCCCAGCTCCGGTTACGGCCGTTGACGAGCGGCCCTTCGGCGGAGGACGAAACCCAGTAAGACGACGACGACGATGACGAAGACGAGGACGTCATCATGAAACCGCTGAAAATCCCGCCGCATTTCACTCGCTCTTTCATGCAGTGGTTGTGTTCGCCACCGCGGTGGGCTGCTTTGGGCTTGCCTTCTCTCTGCGACTCGACTCTTCTGAGAGTGCAGTCGCCGAACCCAGTTGAGATTCGCTCGAAGAAGTCGCCGGAGAAGCTTCGGCTTCCGCAGCCGACGGATCTGGATCTCGAGACCTTCCGCTCGAAGGAGGAGGCCGAGGCGGCGGTTGCTTGACTGCTGTTTGGGCTGTTGCTGTCGTCGTCCGCGTCGACCGCTAGTTCGTTTCTATTCCTCAGAGAAGAAGACCCGAAGCTTTTGGAGTCCTTTTGGGCGGATGTGAAGGAAGAAGTGGAAGAGATCTTGGAGGTGGAGTTGTCTCTGAAGCTGGACTTGTCCATTGTCTTCTTGTTAAGAGCGTGTGACGAGTTCTTGGTGGAGGAGTGATACAGAAACGACCAGAACCCGCCTCTCTTCCTTGGACTAAAATCCTCTGAACCATCCAGAAAATGGTGACCCCGCCGCGGGTTGGTCGTAGACTTGCTCCGCTTGAACACCATGTTAGCAGCTTCCCTATCCGAAGATACAACAGTAGCACCACCGGTACCAGTAGTAGCAGCACCGTCACTCACTTTCTTCTTCTTCTTAGCCAAAAGAAATGAAATCCTGGCCATCCTTGTGTTATAAAACTCATCCTCGTGGCGATAATTACTACCAATGCTTCTGGGTTTTGCCGATGACGAAGAAGTTGGGTGGACGGAGAGGGAGAGGGCGAGGGAGGCGGCGGAGGAAGAAGGACCAGCAGCAGCAGCAGCAGCAGCAGCAGCTCCATTGCCGCCGTTAATAATGTCAGATCTAAAAGAAGGGGAGGAAGAAGAGGAGGTTGCAGGAGCGTGGATGGGGAGAGGGAAGGAGGAAGAAACAAGCTTGCCGAGCTTCTCCTGGAGGCAGAAAGCGCAGATCCCACCTGGGTTGCTTCTGTATGGATGGTCACTGCACTGCATTCCATCTCCCATGTCTTGATCTTGATCAGCCACAGCATTCATATCTTCCAAATTCGTTGCCAAGATCAAATCTTTTCTTTCTGGGGAGGTAGATTTGATCTTTCTGCACAATGGGTTGGGGATTTTTTTTGGTTTTTCTGGTTTCTGTGCTGTGGATTGAGAGACGGGGAATGGAAGCGAACAAAACAGAGAACAGGAGAAGCATAGATGGTCAGAAGGTGTAATTGAGTGGGAAAAATAATTATATCATGGCATAGAAGAGAGAGAGAGGGAGAGGGAGAGGGAGGAGAGGGAGAGGGAGAGAGTCCCCAGGAGCACGTGGAAGACTGACCTAAAATAGTGTGTAAAAAGACCGCCATGACACTTAAATATTTTTGCAGACAGCCCAAGCAGAAGAATCTATAAAAGACTCTGTGCACTCAACCCCCTCTCTACGTTTGCACTTTGCACGGATTCATTTGTCTTTAACCACGGTTTAAGATTATTAATAGAGTAATTTTAGAAAAATTAAAATTTTTAAGATTAAATTTGTAAATTAAATAATATTTAAATTATTAATTAAATATTAATTAACGTACTTATTTTTTTTATTAGTGACTTATTATTTGATTTGTAAATTTTATTTAAAATTTTGGTCGTTATCAAGTTTCTCGTTTTATCTACTGGCCATCCTTTTTATCATCTCACCCGTTGCTTGATAATTAAAATCATATAATATTCTAGAACAATTTCAAAGTTTAACTCTACCAAAGTTTGATCAAACTAAAAATTAGGTTAACTATTTGATAAACATGGTGTTATTTTTAAGAATAAATTAAGTTCTCATTCTTTATTTTTATTTTTCATTAATTGAAATCTTATTTATTTTTTAATTTTGATCAAGGTTTTTTAATTTTTGTCCATATCATTACTTGAATATTAAATTATTTACATGTCATTATATATCAATCTAAAAAGGTGAAAAACTAATTAATCATTTCCAAATATATATTTATTTTTATATTTCTATTTTTAATTTGAACCCATTTTTTAAGTTTGTACCAATATTTTTTTTGGTTTTAATTTGTACCATAATTTTAAATTTTAATATGTACCCACACTTTTTTGTTTTATTTGTACCTATATTTTTTTTTGTTGAATGTACCCATGTTAATTACATGTATTTATTTTATGTTTTAAAGTATATCTATAATTTCTTAAAATATATTAATAATTACGTGGGTACATTGTTTTTCTGTTAGAACTATGTGAAGAATATTACTCTATTCTTGTTCTTAAGTAATTATTATATCATAGAAAATTATTATGAATTTGTTCAAATTTCATAATTTGTAGGATATTGAAAGTATAAATACATAAATTAAACCCAATAAATGATGCTAGAATACTTGATCAAACTATTTAAACAAATTAGGTTTCATTCTTAAATATTGAGTTTAAAAATTAAAAGATGAGATTATTTAAAAAGTGAATTAATGAACCATTTAACTTCTTTATTAAATACTGTATTAAAGTTCAACTACTAATATTAATGATTTAGGGTAATTTAATTTTTCATATATTGTACTGAAGTTAAGGTCATCTCCAACTGAAGGATCCAGAGGGCCAGAGGGCTATGGAATTTGAGAAGGCCCCACGAAATCGGAGAGGGCTAGAAGGCTAGAGGGCTGGCTGCATGCAACCAGCCATCTAGCCCGGGGATGGCCAGAAATATATTTCTGTCGTTTATAACCGACAGGATTGCTTAAAAAAAAATTTGAATACAACGGCCAGTCAGCTAGCCGTTATATTCTTTTTTTTTTTTTTTTTTTGGTTTTTTGGGCTAATTTTTTTTCAAATTCTTAAAAATTCTAATTTTTTCCCTATAAATACCTAAACCATTCATTAAAGTTAAGTTCTAATTTTTTTGGTTTTTTGGGTCAGTTATCGTTGTAATTTTTAAATTTAAGTTGTTGTAGTTTTCAAATTTAAATAATAAATTATGTTTGGCTCTCGGTTGGAGACGGTTTTTTGTGACAAGGTTAAAACGAGCCATTTCACCCTCGATTGGAGACAAATGCAAATATAATCTTGGATTATTTATTAAAATATTAATATCTTGAAATATCTTGAATGACCGGAAGGCTAAAACAAGCCTAGAAGATGACCTAACAATTAATTGGAAGAGGAAAAGCTACTGCATTAGATTGCTTCTTTTGCTCTCACTTTCTCTGGCATTGGTAGTAGGGTTTGTATGCTATGTAATGCTGGCATGCAGGGGTAGCTTACATTTCTTCAGGCTTTATATGCTACGTGTCCTGCATGTGTCCTCCCCACTCACCACTCCCTCACGCCGCGCTGTTACTCCTAACAGTGTACGATGTCATTATTTATTTATAATTCACTATTATTTTATAGGGTAATGTTCGGTAAACGAAATTTTTAAATTAAATGTGCAAATCAAATAATAAGTTATTAATAAAAAATAAACATATTAATTAATATTTATTTAATAATATAATTATCTAAAATTATATCATTTAATTTGTAAATTATTTGCAACTCCTAGAATTAGTCGAGCATTAACTTTTTCCAATATGATCCTCTGGATTTTTTTGGGAAGAATTCTGGGGATCTGTAAATTGTGTTTGTTTATTTTACATCGTATGATCAATTTTTATTAAATAATATTTGTATTTAATTTTAAATAAAAATATTTAAAATAATTTATGATCTCACGATAAACGGATACAATTCATAGATTCCAAAGAAGATCCAGCAAGATCCGGATTCTAACTTTTTAATTAACGGCTGCATCTATTGCTAGGTTATATATCTCCACTGAAGAAAGTAAATCTAAGAACACTGTTCTGTCTGCAAAAGGTACACATATGAATTTAATTCGTATGCATCATCTTTTTGACAAGAAAATTAATGGTGAAATTTATAGCATAATGCTGTGCCGGAAACCTTTAAATATGCATGGGATTCGTTGGGAACTTGTGTTAGAATACGGGTCCTTTGTTGTTCCCATTTGGATGTGAGATTCTTGCCATCAAAAGGTTTTTTTTTCTTTTTTTTCTTTTTGTTAAAAGAAGTACGATATCTTTTGAAAGAAATGAAAGCGTAAAAAGTGAGAATAAGATACAAATAAGTGCCTCGATAAAAAATTTGTTGGCAATTTTAACTTGGCTGAAGAGAAAAATGAGAAATTTTTCATTATGACGGGAACACGGATAGTATATCATATATTTTTATGTAAGTGATGAGAAATTTTATTTTTTAAGTTATTAACTTTTTAACACACATATCTTATCATTTGTATAATGACACGTGGTGTATTGTCCCGTATGCCGGTCACACTGAAAAATCTCTCAAGAAAAAGAGTGTCCCAACCAAACTTTGAAGTTAACTATCCTCCCATACCAAATGAAAATACAAATTAATTTGAACTATCTTCAATCAAGATGTCCTGGAGGTTCCTTAGAGCCACACTTCCTCTTGATGTCTCCCAATTCCTGACTGAAACTTGAAGAAAAACACGAGTATCGTTGATGATAAGACCAAGGGGAGAAGTGTCTTCTCCTTTGCAACTCAAAGCAGCAATAGTAATTCATGAATCCCCTTCAAACACAACCTGCACTCCTGTTGGATACATTTGTTTGACAAAACCCTGCCCTTCTTGCTGCAAGGAGTTTGAATTGTCAAAATTTTAGGGAGATAAACCAGTAATTCACAACTACTAAAACAGAAATTAGTTGTTCTCTAATTTGCATTTTATCACATACAAAGTCCGATGTGTGTGAGATTTCTTCAAAAAAAAATTCCGTGCAATTAGAAGTTAAATAACTTAATGTAAGTTATATTTACTTTTGTCAATTTTATCATTTGGAATTCTTGTGTATTTTCTAACAAGAAGAAATTGGTTACTTATTTTCTAGGATGGTAACACATTGTTATTCTGTTTTAAATCTTCCACGTTGTTTGACATTCCCATTTTATGTCAATCATATCCCTCAACCACGCATAAGAGGGATGTGGGACTAATGTATATGGAAAATGCAAATAAACCGACTCTAATATCATTTTAAAACATGAACATCAAATCTAATATTAACCGTCAACATATGAAAAATGTTCAAGATCATTTAAATTATTATATAAAACTTTATCCTATTCTTTCGCCGACTTGGGATTCATACCCTCGAACATATCTACCAAGGGAGATTCATTAAATTTGCGGTCCCCGTTTGTAGATGGCTACAAGTTTTGTGAAGTTGACAAATCAAAGATTAGCATGGACAACTGATCAAGTTTGTTAGTGAGGTCTTAAGACAGTCAGTCGCTCAACTATTCACGTTTTGGGAATATGGATCCCACATCGGTCGATCAATATTAATCTCATATTTCTATAGTTGGGCGTCGCCTGCATACGTGGATCCATGCACGACTATATGTCGATCTAATTAATTAGAGTTTCTTCTGCATTTGTATATTGCCCTTTTTTTTTACTTTTTTTTTTTTTTTTCTTCTGTACAATACTGTCAGTAGACAATGAGCTTTCGGAGCTTTTACCACATGAATGGTGTTTCATAGTACAAGTTACCGTACGTTTACTCCAGTCCAGCTGCCCTTTGCTTTTGTTTGATTTGAAATTTGATCTCATATATATACATATACATATACATATATACATATACATATATATATATATATATATTGTACAGTTAAATCTTGTATCTTACTCTTCACATCCGAATCTACTTCTGCTTTTGTTTATTTGATCTCATATTATACAATTAATCTTGTATGTTTTTCTTCACAATATTGGTAAGTCTGAATTTTGAGATGTTAAATAGAATGAACTTGTAACACTACATACGTGTGTGCATCAGTGTTTTGTAGCCTTGATATGGCAGTGACTAGAGCGGTTTTCATGTGGCCTTGTTAGGGTGTCCTTGTCCTTCACAAAGAAGAGTTGATCAGTAGTTCCCTTCTCGAAGTAGATAGTGTAATTGTTTTATCGTCTCTCCTAGCAAGTGTTATGGCCGTGCTTATGCTATAGCTAGATGTGGCCTTCACCATTAAGAGATGATTTATGTGGTCTTGTCTTTTCTTTAGAGCAAGTCTAGCATTTGTAGTAGCTCGGTGGACCGGCTGCTTTTTCCATCCAATTGCCCTAGCTCCTTAATCCAACCCATGCGGGCGATTGGATTGAGGGGGGGCCCGAGTGAGAGGGTGGGCTCGAAATGCAGGCCCAAGTGCCTTAGGGCAAGTTGATGCAAGGCTGACGTCAGGATGATGTCAACCACATTATAAAATTAATAAAAAAGTAAAAAATTAATAAAAAAATGTAAAAAACAATAA